ATATCATCATAAATACTGATAATAGTAACACTGTATTTTATACTGGAAATAAGCTTCGATAGTAACTCCTGGGGTGATAGCTGCTAATGGATGTGAATGGTGGACTAAACATTAGGAATTGTTTGTTACACAATTCAATTGACTTATTATGACATCAAAATGAAAAATTCAATACATCTATTAAATTATTTATTTGTTTTTATTTGTATTAAATGTGTGTAGTTTAGTTAGTTGTACGAAGTCATGTTAAGAAGTACTTGAATTGTTTTTTAACTTTTATACTTTGATAATTAAAATGTATCTACTTAACATTTAAAAGGTAGAGAAATAATAAACAGGTACTTTGTACTATGTTCAAATTACAATAAATTATAATTTGCTTCTTATTAATAACCTTAATTAATAACATATTTTTAGGTTTTATGTTTAGTTCAGAGTATGTTATTTGGTATGGTGAAGTGGAAGGGGGAACGAATTGTAAATAAATAACGTAAATGGATGATGCTCCAAAAATAATTTATTATTTGGTATGGGTACTCAAAAGAAAATATTTAGTATATAATATAATTATTATATGATGTAACAAATAACATTAATTTTTATATGTGTACCTAATCTAGATACAATAACAATCATACAAAACAAATTTGAACATTGAACCAATATACTTTTGATACTTTTTGTTATTGGTCTATATCTATACTATTGTGTTGATAGTAAATATCTGAAAAAATTCCAGCATTAATTTTTCGGGTAGAACAAAATAAAGAACCTAGGCCACTGTAGGTAATCTATGAAAGCAAAAAGTTTAAAGAGACGAATAAGAAGATAAAGTTTTAAAAATTAAAAGAATAAGTTGGGTAAGACATATAATATAACGCGCACAAGAACACATGATTTGAGAAGTGGTAAAATGAGTTCTAACGAGTAAGAGACCGCTGGGTACCCAATACCAGATGGTTGGACTGAATACAGAAGTTTAATATGCTGAAAATAAAAAAATAGTGAATAAATGCAACAAATAGGAATGAATGGTGAGGAGTGGTAGTTGGGGAGAATAACCTATTGTTAATAATTATCTTAAATTTAAGAAAAATCCTGTTTCAATTTAAAATTTCATACCTTGACCTTTTTTAAAATTGTTTTTTTTTTATTGAGCAATCAAAGTTAATAAACGATTTTGAGATATAAATAATATAATGTTTAATAATGATAGATATATTTTAGATTCTGAGTGTAGCAATGTGTTATTTTATGTGTACATGTTTTATAGTAAAAAAAATGTTTTGATTTTTATCTTCAATATATTTTTGTGAATCCACTTTTGGAAGATATTTAAATTAAAAAAATAATTAGGGAAATACGAAAGTTTTTACGCAAAACTAGTTGCAGAAATTCGATTTTTCTTATCTTATTGTAATTAAAAAAAGAATAACTTTACATAAATGAAATTTTCACTTAGTGTTTATGTATAATATATATGTATATAGTATAATTCTCAAAATATTTCAAATCGTTTTGATTTATTTGTAAACATTTGAAATCATTTTTTTTTTACGAATGTCGATAAAGAATTTTATAATTAAGCATTTATAAAATATTAAATAAGTTTATTTTTATAGTTAAAGTTTGTGAATTAAATAGGTTCAAGGTTCCTCTTAAGTATTTTTTTCTAAAATCAAATTTAAAAAATATAAACAATTAAAAAAAAATTATATTTTTTAAGTTAAAATTTGGACGAAATTAGATATTTAAACAAAAAATAACAATTTTAATTATTTTTTTAAATAATCATAATTCAAAAATTATTTGTGGATAATTGAAATTTTACATAGATTTATTATTATATTTTATTTATACAATGAAATTTTCAAAACATTTAGATAAATTTTATGTTATTATCTATTTATATCATAATCATATCATTCACAATATTCTACGGTAAGTTATCGACTCAAAAATTATTAACAATATATCTATAATTATTAGTTCTATTTATAATTGTGAAATGAGTTTTTTCGCTAACAGCTTTTCTGTTTATCTTAGAAACTATTGGTTAATTTCAATAAAAGTTATGTCAATTGAGACTCTCGGGGTGCTTTACCGCCATCGCTTACAACTGTTTTTTGTATGCATATTATATTGTGGACAGATTTAACACATATATCTATTTATTTTTTTTATAACTTATTTAATGACGGGACACACTTAATACTTAAAATTTTACAGAAATTATCTACTTTCCCCTTTTTAATATTCATATTCGTGCCTAAAGTTTGAACATTTTTTACTCAGTTCTTTAAGTTTTAACGATTTTAGTTTTTTTGTTTTAACCTTGAAATATTCTACTATTACTTAAATTATAATTTTCTATGAATTCTTATATACTTTTTTGTTAGTATTTTTTAAGCGTATGATTATGCATATATATTATGATTTAGATAAAAATTAAAAAATTTGTTTGGCTCTTTTTTTGGATTGTTGATGAAATTATTTGTTTCCATGTTAAAAAGCTTGATTTAGCATTATAAAGTTTCTTATAATTTATTTTTACAGCAATTTAAATATATCACTATTCAGTAAGAAAAATTTTCACAGTTTTTTTTTATGAATATTTTCTACAAATCTCAATTTTTAACTAAACTATTTTCATCTTAAATGACTAGTAATTTTCTTTTTTGATTGTTAGTTTCAAATTTAATTTTTTAGAATTGGCTTCATACAATAATCCGAATGATAATATGTTTTGGTATTTAATACTTAATAGAATTTTGTAAACTTGTTAATAAAGATGATGAGTTTTTTTAAATACGTTTACCCTGATAGATATAAAATATTCATTCATTAATATTACTAAATAGATAAAAAGCGTTTTATTGTAATATTAAAAGATAAAACTCTCAATAGTGATTATTTGAATAATTTGACTTATTAGTTGAGGTAACATTTGTAAAAAATAAACTTAGGTATTAAATATAACTTCATAAATATTTAAAAATAAAACTTTTATACGCAATTAAACGTTGAATTTTGAACAGTATGCAATTTTTGTAGCAAAGGTTAAAAACTATTTGTTTCGTGTACATTAAGATTTTTGACTTGTTGCCCGTTTTAAAATTTACACGCATTAATATAATATTTTTATCCAGCTTCTATTTATAAAAATTAAATTTAATAGTTTAATTTACTTTTATTTAATTTTATCATACTAATGAGTAATATTGTGTATTCATCAATTGTCTTGTATCTACTATAACATCGTTAGTACTGTATGTTAACTACTAAAAAATTATTATCTATAAATAATAGATACTATAGTAGCGTAAATAATAGTTTGCTAACAAAGCAAAGATCCATATTTTTACCATTGATATTATTACTTAGCTATTCAATATTATTAGAATACGGCTAATGAACTCGTTAGGTTTAGGATTTTATGGAAAATCAATGTTAAAATTAGAGATAATGTTATCCAAAATAATTTTATTTTTATTTGGTAGATAATAGATAATAGATATACTTGGTTGCATTCAACATTTGTGATGACTAATGACTAATAACTAATAAATAATAACTAATAACTAATTGTTTTATATTAATGTAAAACTTATTAATTTTCCTTATTATAGAATAATATGTTACACAATATACTTAGTGAATGTGGTTTTGCCATATCTTATATATTTTAAGGAGTATGATGATAAAACAATAAACTTTTCTTTATTGAGTACTTAGTACTTCCTTAGTATTTTCATTTAGTCAGTACTTATACTTAAAATCATACATTTAGATATCTTATATTTTTGTATTCTTTTTGTTGATTTGATTATAAAGAGATAAATATTATTCGTTATATTATTATATACTATATATCTTTCTATTACTTAAATGAAAAAGTTTTGAATGTTTTTTAACATAATATAATTGATACGGAAAATTAAAAATAAATAAATAGTATGTATTATTTATTAAATACTTAAAATTTTCTAATAATTAAAAAAAGTCGTATTTATCATATTTTTAAATATTTTAAGATATAGATAGTTAATTTCAAGATGCAAATAGGGTGACCCTTAGGTCGCAGATGCAAAACATATAATAATAATGTGGTTCTGAGTACAGCTTGATGGGTCATTAACATATCTGTAATTGGTCATTTATTTACAATTTAAGGTATTTAATTTGTTTTAATGTTAAGCTTTCGAATGTATTGTTAGATATTTTGCCTCGTGTTATTGGTCACATTTAACTGAAAGTTGAACGCTTCATGTCATATTTGTAAGAATATGAGACATCAAGTGACCGTAGGTGAGTCTAGTATGATCTATTCTTAATTTATTGATCATACTTTCTTATTTTTCTGTGACATTGAAAGTTTTTTAATTTTTTATATAAGTGTTACGCAGATGTTTTTACTAGGTATCAATCAACTTAGTATTTTTATTACTTACATTTTAACTTAATATTTAAATTTTAGTTACGTACAAGATACTTTCCATTCTTGTATAATGACATTAAATAGTATTACTGCATTATTTGATAAGTAAGAGATTTAAAAAAATTCAATATAGTTTTATAAAATTTATAGACTATTGTATACCCCAAAAAATAATAAGTACATAACTAAATTTTTAACAAAAAAAATTTCTATACAATATTACCTACAAAAATTTTGGTTTCAAAAGTTCAGATTTTGGTATTTTATTTAAATATCATTAAATTAGAATGGCTATTTTAAATAATTATACGTATGTGCATTAGAAAAACAAGATATGTTTTATCACATACATCATATTTTAGTTAATTTAACTTATTTTAATTTCAATTCAACACTTTTTATCATAAATAATTATATATTGTTATATTTTAATAAAAATACTTATTAATGTACAATTTACATATTTATTTATTTATGTTTTTTTTTTTGAATTTCATTATTATTTTTTAATCAATTTAATAACAGTTACAATTTAATTTATTTTTAATTTATAATTTTACTATTATCGTATTTGATAATCAAATTTAGCCATTTATTATAATAATTCATGATGACCAATACACAGTAATTGTTTGTTGTGAATGTTTCGGTATTCCGGTCCGTTTTTGAACATTCTCAAGAATACCTGCCAATTTGCGTTGTCTAAATTTCTCAATCCTTACACTGACGCGCCGGAGACGTCTTTACTTTAAATCGTTCTTAATACCTATATGTAAGGATTTATCAATTATTGTTGATTTAAAATTACCCAGTGATTAATTAAAGTGATCAATAATGAATTACGCTATAGAAACTTACTCGAAAGTTAGCATTGTTTCTTTTCGATCTCCAAGTTCGCAGATAAAATTTTACAGTCACTGTATTCGTCACGATTTTTTATACTAACAAATAACAATCGATACCTGGCGCACACATACGTGGTTGTTGGCGTGCGACTCCGTCCGGTTCCTTCCGGTCCGCGGCAATTGGGTCGACGCGGCCTCGACGTCTTCGCTGGTCGCGTCGGAGACGCGCTCACGAGAATAGATCGACAGGCCGCCGTCTCGTGGCGTTTGCTGTATATCCCTCCGACGTCTACTATTTATAAACGCTTCGCTGCCACGAAGAACGCGTACGTCACACAATGGGCTGAAAATACGATTGTTGGGCTTGGGTACGTGTGTGAATAGAGAAAAGCGTATTTAGCTATAGCGCATGTACGTATAGTATTATTATAGGTCGTTACGCAGTGCAATTTTTTTTTTCTAACAAATACTCTCCACCGTCCCGGTGTGTGTTCGATGACGACGTGACGCGACTTGGCGACGGCGGCGGCGGCGCCTTAACGATTTTGTTCGACCTCCATCCACCCCGACTCGTACCTACCTATACAAACGCATACGAGTAGTTGCAGGTACCTATATATATATATATACACACACACACACACACACTAATACAAAGTATTATTATAATCGCCTAAGTGTGGTTTTCGTACTCACATACATACACCGCTCGATTCTAAACTACTTGTACTATATGGCTAGTGGCTGTGTATTATTGCCATCGCGTTCATTCGACTGCGGCATTTGTCGGTCGGTCGGGTCCGTCCGTTATCGCCGCGAGATAAATAATAATACTCATTGCGACATAGGTGCGTATATATACATATATATATATTATATATAATACCTGATGATGCACGTGACATCATCGTCATCGTCGATTTAATATTATATGACTGCGTCCGGATTTGTACGTTTTCCAAAATAAATCTTTTCGCGCGTCTACTAGTCGTGTCCGCGTTGTCGTTCTCCTCGTCGCGCTTCGTCGTCGTCATCGTCGTCATTATTGTTACCGTCCGATACTTGTCAAACCTATGTTCCCCCGGCGGCAGTCGCTTTTTGAGCGACAAGAGTTCATAATGATCGGTGAGTTGGCCAAAAAGCAAAAACATACGCACGAAACTTTTTGACCTTGAGAAAACCATAATCGTTTCATTTTCGTTTACGAGTTTTCATCTTACATAACGTATATGTATACACAAAGTAGTAATCCTATCAGTCTATCAATTGCGTAAACAAGTTATCTACCTTCTAAAATCTACTGTGCCCTCGAAAAGTACGAGATTAAAAATAATTACCTCTGTAACTGCTGCATTTCTTTATTTTGACATGTGTTTACGGCACACATTTTTTTAAATATATATTTTTTATCACACCAAATTCGAATTTTTTATGAGTGTACATTTTACACTCATAAAATAGTTTCTGAGTTTGTTGTAGTGAAAAAAAAAATATTAGTCGGTCACTCGGTATTTAAACACAATATAATCCATTCAGTAATTCTGTAAACTTAGCAGTATTAATGTCTACCTATCATGCGGATATATGTAATCATGACGTATTCAATGTATATTCATATGGATCAAAGTATCATACCGATTAAAATATGTAATAATCACTAATATCGTAATACACCTTTTAGTATAATTTTATTTTTATCTTAAATTTATTAATCCTATAGTGATAAGAGTTTTTAATGTGTATGTAGAAGAAGTTTTTAAATCTTGCGGCTATATTTAAGGTATATACTATAGTTATAGATATACATATGAATAATACATTATATACATCAGACACATAATGAAAATTGATTGATTTAAAAAGCATTCATTTATATATTATTAAATTTAATAAATAAAATAATGTATCGTTTAAATGATTAATTTAACATGATATCGTATACTTATTAAGATACAAATTAAATTTAAATACTAATTGTAATATATTTTTTATTTGATTTTTGATTTTGAATAGTTTTTTTGTATTATTTATTATTATTTCACCTTGACATGGTTAGTTTAAAATGTGACAAAGAGATGTTGGATACTTAGCACTGTTTATATTATCTGCAACTGTTAGTCTCAACATGTGATTATTTGATAAAAGTTTTTAAAACATTAGTAAATTAATAACGTTTTAAGTATTGTTAGCAATAAATATTTATAAACTAATGTATTTGCATTTAAACGGTTAGGTTAGATACTATAACAATTCATTTAAATTATATATTAATATAATACAATATGATATGATATTTTCTGATGAATAGTTCCTAGATTCTGGGTTATAATTATGCACAACTTTTATATTTATTTTAAAATTAAAAAAAAAAAATTATTGTTTATATGATATATTGTTATATAGGTTGTCGTTTACGTTAGATTTATAGTGAACAACGATTATAAAACTGTGATATTTATTTCTGATAATATTGAGCTTAACTATTTATTAGTGACTTTTTAGTTCTATGATTAGTACAAGTTTTTTCGAGTAGGCAGTGCTCGATTGAGACTTTTCGGCCCACCGAGATTTTGAATTTCTATTGGTCCATTCATAGGTGGAAATTTGATTGTATTATATATGATAAGCAACGAAGACTTCAATCCTAATATTTAATAAATTAGGGGTTTTTGAAAATGTCCGTTCCCCACCCCCGACCTATGGTCCATTTGATAAAAATGTTTTATCTCTTATTTTATTTGCACTCCAAGCAAAAAAGATTTTTTTTATTCACTTGAAGTCAGTGTGTATCATTTCATGATAGTTTCTCTATAGCAAGTTTACAAATTACCCAACATACATTGTATTAAGTTATTCCTTATATAAACAGAAGCAATTTTTTTTCACTTATCTTTATACTGCTTATAGTAAAAATATCAATTAGAAATATGAACACATATATTTATAAAATGCCTAAATTTGGTTTATCATCAATAAGTAAGTTTAGAACTGTAAATATGCAATAATATATATGCTAATACATTATATCTTTATTTTAAAATAAAAGCTTTTAGCTTAAGCTTAATCATGATCATAACCGGTCCACCGAGATTTTTTCGGTAGCTCGCCGGTTCGATCCTGGCCTGTGAGTAGGTATATATATAATTTCAAACATTTACATTGCACATTTATATATGCGTTTAATATAGTATTAAAATTTGATTTTAAAGTATTGACTATAGGTACTATTACTATACATATACGAAACGGTACTTCTTGATTTTGAGCTATACAATAATGTATTTGATTTATTTATATTTTTCATTTTGAAAAAACACTATTTGTATAATCAAAATTTGTATGAGGCTATTTTAATTATAAATCAGTACCTATAGAATTACTATGATTTGGAAAAATAAAACATTTTTTATAAATTCAATTTAATCATTACTTATTGTTTAACTGTAATATAACTAATAAGTATGTTAAGTATGTTAATGATAACGCAACTAAGTAAAATATGTTCTTCGAATAATTGTTATGTCTTATTTTACATCGAATTTCATCACTGATTATAAAAGTAATTTTTTTAATTATAAATTACACTAAATGACTTATCGTCTAATTGTATATTTGTTCATGTATAAATGTATAATATTAGTATGTTTTATATCTAGAAGCCTAAACAAATTTGTATAACAAAAAAAATATGTTTTTTGATGTACTAAGAGGGGATTTGTGCAGGAAACTAAGCAACGATAGTTATGATAGACTACACGTATTATTTCGTAAGGTAAAAACTAACGTAGTGACATGTTCTCAAATACACATTTTAATATTTCCATGCTGAGTATTTATAATCACAAACATTTTGTACTTTTCTTATCATTTACTATTACTTACAATATTACTTTTTGATACAAATAAATTAATCTCAAGATCAAGGCATACGATCAATAATTATTGATCTTATGAGAACGCCGCACCTGCATGTGTTATCTCTGTCTACATTCATACAACATAGCAAATTTTCGTTCAACAGAATCCATTTAATGTTGCTATGTTGTATGTATGTAAGACTTGCGGGTGCGGCGTCCTTTTATGTTTTTCTTAAAAAAGGATAAAACTATAGCTTTAAAAAAGAAAACGGGTATCTAAACCTTTTTTTATGTATAATGACAATCTTTAATGAGATTTTTTAAAGAAGGATAATTTAATTGAATAAATCCAATGATTAATATATTATTATTATGTTACTATAGGTTTTCTTTCTTTTTCATAATTTACTGTCTTCAAAATTATGCTGACAGGCGTATACCATACCATCTTTATTTTACAAAATATTTAGTATAGGTTAATATTATTGATATAGTTTTTAATTTTAAAGTTAATGATATAATTTTTGTAAGCTATTGTCTTCAATAGATGTTGATAAATTTTTTTTCTCGGTCAACTTCTCGGGAACTTTCATAGTACTTTTTTTAAGAAATTAAAAGTATTTTTTGTGGTGTTTTAATTGATGATATTTAGTTGTTCCTACATCTAATCAATTTTACAAATTTATTTAGTTACACATTATTTATCTTCTTATTAGTTTAATATTATTATAAGTTCATAACTGTCTTATTTCAAGTTTTTTAAATTAAAATGCGTGATATTCATTTCGTACTAAATTTTTTTAGGTGAACGTCTTAACTATGTTAACACACCGCATGTCATTGCCATGGTCGGACTGCCGGCGCGAGGGAAAACTTACATATCTAAAAAACTTTCCCGGTACCTTAACTGGATCGGTATCAACACAAAAGGTGGGTATAAAGAAAATAACAATACTTAAGTGTGGTACATTTGGTATTGAATATATTAAGTTAATAACAATTGTATTATATGAATATGTTCAAATATTTCAGTTTTCAATCTCGGAGAATACCGGCGTCATGCTACTACGGCGTATAAGTGCCACGAGTTCTTCCGTCCCGATAACGTTGAAGCGATGGCAATTCGAACACAATGCGCTATCGACGCGCTCGATGATGTCTGTACGTGGCTTGATAACGGCGGTGAAGTCGCTGTAAGTATATCATAAATAATATTAAAATTCGGTGATTTTTTTTTATGGCATATACATATTTTATCAAAAAGTATTTTTGTAAATATATTATTCTTTCTAAATTGAGATCATTACGTAATAACGTTTTTGATAAAATTGAATTTTTTATAGTGTTTCATTTTTTGACCTTAAATGAGTTCATACATTCAGGAGAGGACTAGGTCAGCGGGATACCGAAAAGATTCCCAATGGGTTTCTGCCCAAAAACTATTTATTATTATTATTAGTATTACTCGTATGTAGGTACATAATAATTTGGCTATAACCAATAGATTAACAAACTGCGGTCATTATTTATAACTAAAAACTGGATTAATATGCATTTTAAATTGTAAAATATGCATGCAAACATGCACTAAAAAAAGGCAAATTATGCAAGAAAAAAATGCATAACATGCAAAATAAAATCTCAATTTTTATTAAATTTTATATTTGATTTTAATTTTGCAGTGATAATTATTTATTATTTTGATTTAAATTTTTATAAACAAAAGGTATAAGATCTATAATAAAGCAAATATACAATACAAAAATATAATTTATTAAATTTTCCCCATTTAGTATAACAACATAATTATAATTTATTGATTTTAAATTTAATAAGTACCTAGATTTTTAAACAAATCAACTGTATTATAACTTTTAATGTTATAGAAATTGTTTAACTTCAAATATAGTTACCTAATTGATTAATCGTTAGAAATTTGATTTATGCACTTAAAAGTTCTCAGAAAATATTCTGTTTAGTGAAATATGATATAGTAAAAATGTATGTTTTTATTTAATAAGGCGAAAACGTAATAAATAATAATTATAAAAATATTGATCTTTAAAAGTATATATTTCAATAATTTCAAATTATATGAAAAAATATTTTCACAAACGTTAATACTTTTCGAAAGAATCAGTTTTTACTCTTAAAAATACCACTGTGTTAAAAAATATTAGATGCATGAAATTTAATCACATAATAATTATATAACTATGATTTATAGGTGTTTGACGCCACCAACTCGACCATTGAGCGCCGGCAATTGATATTGGATATCGTCGTAAAAAAACGAGGTTTTAAGTTGTTTTTCGTCGAATCGGTGTGTGATGACCCAAAAATAGTCGAACAGAACATAATGGTAAATTTTATAAATATATAATAGTATATTATAATGTCAAATAGGATATTTAATGTGTATATTATATAATATGTTGATTTTGTATTTATGACCTATGTACCTATTACATTATGTCGATTGTATATTTATATGTAACGTAGTGGTCTTCAATTTCTTTTGGCTCACAATCTATTTTTGTGAAAGCTGGGTGAAACTATAGATTAAAGACTAGTAGCAAAATAAATATTTATAATCGAAAAGTTTTAAATTGTATATTCCTACTATTATATAGAAGTATTTTGCACTGTTTTGTTGTGCAGGAAGTGAAGATCAACAGCCCGGACTACCAGAGCATGGGTGCTGATGTGGCACTTAGGGACTTTTTGCAACGGATAGAGCACTATCAGGAACGGTACGAACCATTAGACGAGGTGAAAGAGTCTGAATTGAGTTTCATGAAGATATTCAACACTGGGGAAAAGGTGTTGGTGCGCAAGCACGAAGGTCATATACAGTCACGCATAGTTTACTACCTAATGAACATTCATATCATTCCGAGAACCATTTATCTTACTAGAGTAAGTGCATCAATATGAAATAAACTGTGCTTATTTTGTCTTGGCAAAAATAGTTTTTTTTTCGTATAATTTAAAAACCTGAGTTACTAATTTTGAAAGCTTTATTTATTTTTTGTGAAAGTTGTAAATACCTTGGGTATTTTATTGTCCTACTTACCTACGAATCGAAGATGCAATAATATAAATTTAACTACGTACTTTTTGTAGCACGGCGAGAGCGAATGGAACAAGGAAGGAAAAATCGGCGGAGATTCTCAACTATCCCCCAACGGTGTCAAGTATGCCATCGCATTAGCCAATTATATAAACGGTCAGAATATCAAAAACCTTCGGGTGTGGACGTCATGGCATTACAGGACTATTCAGACCGCGAGCGGCGTTCAGGCCCCGCAAGAACGATGGAAGTCGTTGAACGAAATTGATGCTGTAAGAAACACGATACTTATTTAGATAAATATGATATAGTGTATGCGCTTTCCGCCCATTACAAGCGATTTTTTTGTGATATAATTACATTAGGTGAATGCCTGTTTACTTATTTGTTATTAATCTTTTAATATTTTAGGGTGTATGTGACGGTAAAACGTACGCGATGATCAAACGCGAGTATCCTGATCAGTTCGCAGCCCGTGACAAGGATAAGTTTGCGTACCGTTATCCGAGAGGTGAGTCGTACGAAGACCTGGTTGCCAGGCTAGAACCCGTGATTATGGAGCTGGAAAGACAGGGAAACGTTCTAGTAGTCAGCCATCAGGCTGTGTTCCGGTGTTTGTTGGCATATTTCTTGGATAAGAACTCAGGTCTGTTTGTGCTTATAGGAAATTTTATATTAATAGTTAATATTTTCACTGTTTTTTTTCTTTACCGTTTACCATATAACTAGAAAATCAATTAATAGTATAAATATTTTTTATTTTGTAGAAGAGTTACCGTACTTAGAAGTGCCCTTGCATTCGTTGATAAAACTCACGCCTGTGGCGTACGGTTGTAAAATGGAGCAAATCAACTTTCCTATCGAGGCTGTCAACACGCATCGTCCTAAGCCTCAGGTTAGTTAGTTTAACAAAATTGAAAAAAGTAGCATACAATAAGTGTTTAACTTACACAAAGATCTGAAATGTTATTTTTTTTTTTTTTTTTAATTCACTTAATTATGTTTGTTTAAAAATTAATGTTTACATTTTCACGTGTAAATAAAATCACATTATATAACCAATGATATTCATAATAAACAGAAGTGCGCCAGCATTACAGGATATTCTCAACTCTTAAAAATGGAAAAAAATTGTTTGAATTTCATTGTTTGTTTTTGTGTTTTTACTAAACTAATAATTACTAATATAGCGTGAGCATACGAAAAGTTTTTCACTAAATGTTGAAATATACAGAATGTATTATTGTATATTGAACATTTTCTTGATATTTTGGTCGACATTATAGTGGAGTGGTTAATACGAATTGATTTGTTTTCACTATTTCCGATAACTTATAGAAGTGATTTATTATGATTTGTGATGTTCAGTTTATGTAGTTATACTTGAATGAACCTTAAATTGTTTTACACGTTTATGTGTGACCAAAATTCAATATATTTTCATGTCTTGATTGAAAAATAATCTGCACATTCGCGCATCTAAAATATTTTAAACTATTGTATTGATTTAAACATAATTATATAATACATGTCCACGCCTATATCCTACTTGCGTGACCATTTGAAAAAATGAATTATGTAGAACATCAAAGTTTATAACATTTTGCTGTACAATGTAAATATCATTGAAATGTATTAAGCATAGTTAGAAAATATAATATTTTTATGTACGAGTATAAATTAATATTATTGAAAAAATTTAAATTGAATTTAGTTTCAATATCACTCATCGATCTTTAATTTCTGATTTCATATTTTTACAGTTTTATTTATCATTAACGGTATGGTGTAGCTAAATTTAAGTTTTTTACATACATTAACAGAAATAAGAGTCAGGTTAGCTTTCAGAAGTCACATTGGCTAAAGTTTTCGTCAAAATGTCCAGTGTTATCAATCCTAAATTCACCTATTATTTCATAGTTTTTACAAATAATAAATGCTCCTCCCGTATAATTTCCCTTTTACGGTATAGCTGATAATTCTTTCAGCTTCTGCCCTATTTATTTCGTAAAACAGGTCTGTAATTTATTTATGAAATCTGTCTACAAAATAGTATGTAAAATTTTAATATTTACAACAATAATAAACTATACAAAAAAATTACAGAATTTTATACTTAGGTATGTATAATAGTAATTAATAAGTATATTCAATTTAAAAACTTTTTTCTTTTGAGAAAACAGTCTGTATGGCCAATCTTAAAATGTTTAACGTCTGCACAATATATTTTAAAAAACTAAGCAAAGATAAATTTTCTTGAAAGGACGCCATTGAGAATTATTATTGGAAATTATTATTATATTTCAATGTATCATTATTTTAATTAATAAGTAATGTATCAAATTATTTGTACATACACGTTTTGTTTTGTGCAATTTTATATTATATGAATTTAAAATTATAAAAATTGATTTACATGTTTTTAAATATTACATATTCTTAATTATTGGTACACGTTTTTTAGATTTAGTTATCATATTATGATAGTTAAATAACAGTTATAAGGTGGGCCCGATTGGCATGCATCCTGATGACACCATTCACACCTGAGTCTTTGTTCAGTAGATGTCTTGAAGCACTTGTGTCTGTGAGTTATAAATATTGAAAGAGTCTTGATTGCCTTGATTCTCAGTATTTATTCTATATTATTATGAATCAAAGTATGTTATTAAAGACTAAAGTTTAATTTATCATTTCAATATAGGTATTTATTTTGTAAAAAGGTTTATTTTTACTCGCATGCTCAATAAATTATATTATATGTTAATTTATTTATATCAGTATAAGAATTAAAAAAATTTCGTGTTTAATAATCCTTAGATATTATATATGCTTAAAAATAGCTTCTATTTTAATAATTCCTGAAATAAGAACTGTAAGAAATGATTTTTAAAAAACGGTTATAGGTATGTATTCATTTCGAAAAATTATTGTTTTTGCATGTAAACACATATTGTGTTTGTTTCTCAAAATTAAATTTATAAAATATGTTTATATTTTTGAATAATTTTTTCTAGAATTCGCTAAATATAAATGACAGAGTAATTATTTCCAAAGTAAGTCTACGAATATATTTGATTTTACACATTTTTGCTTGATATGAAAACAAGGGTTGGTAATATTATTAACAAATACATTTAATTTTTAAAACGTTATATTTTATAATAATGTACATAAAACAAACGATGACTAATAGTGTTGGCTTCATTTATATATTGTAACACCGCTTATTAATGATTAATAAGTAATAACAATAATTGATAATTAATATTTTACATATATTTACATTTTTATGAAAAGTATTTAATATATTTAACAAATATGTTTAAAAAATAAAAATATGTATGTACAATAATAAGATCCATTAAAGTGTCTACAATCATTATTTCGATTTTTTTACTTAAAGGAAAAAATATTCTTACATAATTTTGGTATTTCTAAATGTTTAACAAAAAAATGTATAGTTTGATTTTTAAGTTTTTTTATATTTTGTTTGAAATTGTGCCTACGTTTTTAATTTCATACGATGAACAATAATATTTTTTGGAGTATTTGGATACGTAAAAATTTAATTTTTGACTATTAATTAATTAGTTATAACTTATAAATATTTAAAATTTATATGAGCAGTGTACAGATAGTATTGAGATGCTTCGCAAAATGTTGGTAATCTAAGAAAGTAAAGTTTTATTTTGTTGTGTGAAATAAAATTATGTAAAAATAAGGAGTATAGTAATTTAAATGTTTTACATTCTTTATATAAAACAAAGTTTATTATTAAACTATATATTATATCCTTATTGGTATTTAATATTTGCATATCAATTGTGGTTAATTTATAATATGATCATAATATTATTTATTCCTTGGTTTTTTTGTTAATTTTATAGTGGTATATTTAAATTTTTTTAATTAAAAAAAATATTTATTCTCGTGTTTCGAGTAATATTTCAAAATATTGGCTCATCATTAAAATATAATATTTAATATGTCTCCGTGTAAGAATTAATGCCGTACATGTGATTTATAATTTTTAGGTATACCGCTGATACTAAATATCGTTTGTTTCTCGTTGTCAATATCTTAAAAAAACTAGAAAATATTGTGGTTCTATCGTACAATATCGACTTAAATTATCTCAGTTCTTAGTATAGTAGAGTTTTTCTTTATAGTACCTAATTAAATTATGAACCAAGTCAAAAGAATTTTATTATGTTATAACCTCTCTAGTTTTTTCTTTGAAATGAGTATTAAATTTCGTGTATTACGTATTTTGTATACGTATACTTGTACTGCGCTTATAAATTAATTTAAATACTTTGAGGTTATTTTATATTATTTAGTAAACTTGAAAAAATTATTTTTTTACAATTTACACATAAGCACAATTATGAATAAATAATATACAATACTATACAGTAAGTATCTATATTATCTATGTACCATGATTTATGACGTACAAATGGATTTTGAAATTTGAACATAAATATTTTAACGTTTATCGGAAATTCGCAAGTTCTTACATCAAACCCGGGGTATATCTCGTGTATAGATTCTATTTTTTGTGAGGAAAACTGACAATAAGTATATTCAATTACAAAAACAATTTATATTTACGGCACTAAACATTGCTTATGACGGGCTTTACTATTTTCTGTTGCGGGCAAACTTAAACACCAATAACTATACATATGCATGCCCTAATCAATTGTACATACAAATAAAGATAGTTCATTCTGCTAATCTTATCCTTACAGAATAAAAAATTAAAAAATAACATAATTAAATTCTGTCTACGCAGTGTTTATTATGAAGCTTAATAATATGTTCGTAGTGGGTAGGATCTAAGTAAAATATGCTAAAAAAGTTCTCGGCTGTATTAAAATATGAGTGCGTGCTGTGCAAGCACTCAACATTAAGAGTTTTAAAAATTTTCACGATATGTTTGTTGGGGAAAAAAAAAATATACTCGCATTGCGTAAGCAATGTTTACCGACTTGATTGTTCTGTTACTCAAGAATAATTTTTTTTCTTTTATTTTTTAGTATATTGATGATTATGCCAATTGGATTTCCCGCTGTTATGTAAAAAAAAAAAGTTTTAAGTACAAATAATATTCTCTATTTACTTTGTATACCTTGACAATATTTATAACGATTGATGTACAATGTACATAGTTCTAATTCTTGATAAGTCAAAAAACATTTCAACGTTATTGTGAAGGTTACGCCTCGACGCATTCCGAAATATAATCCTGAATTATGGGTAAACCTCATTTAAAATGAATATAGTTTGTTAATTTGTCGGGAAAAATGCCTAGTTTCTCGATTGCATCATAAAATTAATTGTCGAGATTTGTTGTATGTGAGAATTATTTTTTTTAATATTTGAGAGATTGTATATAGTGGTTAAAACATTTCGGATGACTATTATTTACTATAAATTGTATTGTGTATTGTGTAGTGTACAATCAAACCAAACATAACGTGGTTATAAATGATGTCGTTGAAAGCTTGCCAACTTTTGTTTTAGAGTAGGTGTAAAACGGGGGGATTTGCATGTACAGTCTTTTTAAAATCGTTATGGTGCTGTATGGGGAGGGGAAGCCATTTTTAGTTGCAAATTGTAACGATATATGCTATAACAAACTTAACGAGTCACCGGCAATAATATATATTAATTATCCTTGTATTGTTTTTATTATTGTATCATATATTTGTCGTAACTGACCGTGCGTTTAACCACAGAATTTTTTTTTTTTGATCTTGACAAATTTGCCAACTGGTTATTGTATTAATACTTAGTATAATATATCAAATAAGAACGTCAAATTGATACAAAATGAAATTTAACTTCTTCGCTATACTATAAGATATAGTGAGATTCAGAGAGAGGGGTGAAAGAGCTTTTTATTTAGTTCGTGGTGTATAGTTAATTAGTTTGAAGTATAATATTATTATCGTGTTCGTTTAAATGTTGGATCTAATTGCCGAATCTTGGTTTTATTTATTTTTTTAACTCAATTTTCATTTGACAATTTAAGAATATAGATTACATATATTTATTAAACAAAACTTAAAGTATTTTGTACAGTCGTAAATAGAAAGTATATTCGTTGGTATTTATGTTTGATAATATATTAATCGCCGAATTTTGAATAGGTAGTATTTATATTTTGACTACCTGATTACCTACTTTATGAAAATGTATGATATCATTTTTGTATTTTGTTTTTAAAGGATATGCCTACTATCTCCGGTAGCATGGACACAAAATCTACTAATACGGTTTGTGTTCTTGGTAATAATAATAATTAATAAAGTTATAACTAGTGTTCGGATTTTTATGTTTTTGCACATTTTTTTTGAAGTATACGCTATTTTTGACGGAAGTAAAAAATGAAAATGATACATAGCATAAAACAGGTGTCATACAAAATAGTTTTTTTGCTTACTCGAAATTATTTTAAAGTATATTTAGCACCTTCAGTATATTTTAAGTTTAAGGGTGTATAAACTTTTTTTTAATCATTGACCATCTATAGTATTTTTAGATTCTGAGTAGAGCGATGAATATATTCATTTTACAATAATTAATCATTTATTATTATTTTTGTATTTAAAGACAATTTTTCTACTAAAAAAAAAATGAACCTATTGTCGATTTCGAAGGAGGTTTCTGGTAAAAAATTGGATTAAGTTTGAACTTTAGTTGGTCAAAAGTAGATATTTCTGAGCAAGGTTTGAAACCGTAAACATTTTTTCTAATTTCGATTACCGGTTTTATTATTATTATTATTATTATTTTTTATTTTAATTTCGTTTTCGAATTCCAATATTAATTTTTTCGATTACAATTTTAGTTTCAAATACCGGTATTGATTTTTTAAGATTATATACTTATTTTTAATTTTTAGTATTGAATTTTTTCTGATTTCAGTTTCAAATTTCATATGGTTTTTGGTTTTTAACGGATTAAACCGGTGTTAAATTCCAATTTCAAGCCATGTTTTTGACTAGATATTTCTTACACTAATTAGCAAAAAATTATATGAAAAATTTTGATCATCTCTGCTCAGTATCGTTTTTCATCGTAAACAATGATTTATCAAATTTAATATATATTGTAATGGAACTACTTATTGACGGTATACACTTAAGCTCTTTACATTTAGGTACTGTACTGTAGAGCAATTAACTCCTTTACGAATTTTTTTTTGGATGTAATTTCGTTTGAAAATAGTTTTTATTATTTTTAGTTGATCTTATTAATTATGTTTCCAATAATATTTTACACACTCAATGATAATACTATCAAGTCACTGTGTCGTTTTTCTTGTGTATCTTTTAGTTATTTTCTTTAATTTGCGCATTAAAGCATGACATTTTAATTTTCTTTGACTATTTTTGCATATTTTTCTCGTTTTTGGGGGGAATATGATTTAAAGGAGGATAGCTGTAGGGTTTTTGGAATGTATTAGCATCATATTTTAAGATTTTAAACATACAAATCTGGACTCTAGTTATAACGCTGTGGCATGTTTGGATTTTCGTTTTGGACTTTTTAATTTCATTGTATTATATAAATACATAACTTAATGTAAATATTACGCACATATAAAAGTAGGATAATAATATAGTGTCTTATTATATTTTGTTAATTTTTTTTTTTCTGTGCACAATTGTGTAAATTAAATTGTTATTATTATTATTTTATACTATATGCAAGTTATCTTATATTAGCAAATATATTTGTAAATTTTATTGATTTTTTGACCTATAAAATTTATGGATATATGCAGTGGTATATGCAGAAATAACAATATAAAATTGATCAGTGATACGATATTGCTTTAAGTTCACTAATAATGTATGTTTTATCTTCTAGGAACCGGGATATCTGGAAGATCGATTCAAAGACGATTTGAGTGACGACGTCGGAGGTGGTAATAATATGAATAGCAAAAAAGCGAACAACGGCGACGCTACACTGCCCACTTAACTAACGATCCACCGTCATACGGCCACGATCACAATTATATTACTATACTATTACTATATTGGAGATACCGCACCACCTTCTCTGTATCTGCGCACGCCGTTTAAAAACGACTGCGTTTCTGCAGCGGAGGTCGTGATGAAGAAGCCATCGTCCACGCACTAAAAATAAATATAAATTACCCATTATTATTATTTATTGTTTCCATAAAGGGGGAAGGGGAAGAATGGTGATTTTGATTTTTTTTTTATGTATAATTTAATATTTAAGATATATATTTGTGTTTGTGTGTGTATGTGTGTGTGTGTGTGTGTGTATGTGTGGTTGATATCAATATATTGTAATATATCACGCGACAGAGATTAACTATCCGAATTCGACTAATATATACCCATATGTATATATTTTATTTTAATAATATATATATATATATATATATATATATATATATATACATATATATGTGTGTATATATATGCATATGTACATTTTTCTTTTCATTTTTTAATATTTTTAAACCGTTACTTCATTTTTAGACGATATTGTAAATACAATTTTACTCATTACAGTCATATTTATATTATATAATAATAATATAAGAAAGTATCATGCATACGTCATAAACCACACATTACCATAATATTTATGGACATAGATAACTTAAAAAATTACTTAATTGTTTGTTTTAATTTTGTAGAATTTACTTTTAGGTGTTTTTTTTTTTTTTAATTTCATCATTATTATAAGGAAACTATCCGTCTTATCGTAAAAGCTTGTCCTATACATTTATAATACAATCATAATTGTTCAAAATCATTCTTCAAATGAATAAACCACCTAAACTCTAGTATATATTATCGCTTTAAACCAATTTTATTGTGATATTAACGAAAAATAACTGTGCATTTTTCGTCTTTTTTTTGTATACCTACCAAATGTTCTTCAGAATAAAGAAATTTATTTTTTGTTCTTTATCTATTTGTTGTAGTAATAAATAATGGTTAAATGCATACAATAATTTTACACTGTATACCTATTTGAAGGGTAGTTTGATGCAATGGTCATATAGTTGACCATAGCATACGCAAATTTTTGGTTTGAACCACGGCACAGTACCTACAAAATATATTACTTTCGTAAATTGTATTCGTTCCGGTTGCTTACTCTGCAATCTTCGACAGGCCCAATCCATTGGAAGTGACGTCCACACACGTGTACATTTTTTTTAGCTAGATACACTTTTTTTCTCTCAAGTGATAAAGCATTTATAAAAAGACCTGATAAATTCGTTTTTATTAATACAAATAATGAAAAAATAAAAAATGAAATACTTATATACCTATATGTATAGTTTATAAGTTATACAACAATCAACTTTTAACAGGCTCTACAAAATCTCAACCGTTATTCAAAAACTCGACATTGACAAACGCGTCATCAAGAAAATTTTAAAAATATTTTTTAATTCTGTTTACGTTTTTGACTTATTAGTTATTATTTTCGTGGAAGACTTGTTTATTTTGTATTTAAGGCGCTTTACTTTAGCAGGACATTATTGCATACTCAAAATATTTCGGACGAATCAGGTGCTCTCGATAAGCCAATATATAAACGATTAAACGATACCATACCTATAGATTAAACATACCATCTGTGTCTAATTATTACAAACTGCGTGTAAATTTCATTTCGAGTTGAAAAAATTCTTTCAAATATTACTCGTGTACAGTAGTTGCACAATAATATTGTATGCGATGGAAACGAAAGTAATTTAATAATTGAATCCCTCATCGGCGCCCGCCATCGTACATAACTAATAGCGTCGTTGGTCCATCGCTTTTAATGGTGTCTGCGCACCGTCAGATATCACTCATTTGTTTGCGACGGCAGTAAAACGTAAATAATTAGTTGCAGTCGCCACTGGTATAATAATATTATACCTATTTTTTAAATTTGTAATTTTTTTTATTGTAGTTGGGAGAGTTTGTTTACTATCCGTGACACACTCGTATAATATTTTTCTGCTTGTGTCTGCCTTGAGAAACTTATAGAAAAGGTAATCAATAATTCAGATGTGTTCGTATAACAAAACAATAATATATTTTACGATTATTCAGACTCTACGGCTGTTCGCCAGAATTATTTTCCGACGTATGATGGTAAAATTGTTTAAAAAGTATACAAATAAATAAGAAATTATAACAAAGAACTCGTATTGTTGTTTTTGACATTTAAGCGGTGTACAGGCGTTTAAGTGGTGATCAGTATACCAGGCAGGATCGATACTCCGATTGCAAGAATGTAACCGCCGTGATCGTGACAATAGCAGACGAATTTTGGAGTAATCATACTTGTATTATTATATTTACCTATATTTATTCTATTATCAATAAATGATGATAAGTAAAACATCACGAATAATGATTCGTTTAATATGATTATAATATGACAATTAATATTAATCGCATTTTGATTGAAAAATTATGATGACACGGCGTTGTAGACAATCTACCAAAGGTACATTACCGTTGTCGGTCAATCTTTACGGTTATGATGACTTTTAATAATATGAAATTTTTCTAAAGGTATGGTTCTAAGGCGTGAAATGTCTCTGCGAAAAGTCGTCAATATCCGTTTATAAAGTTTGATCGTTGCGACCTGTCACGTCTTGCAAACCAGTGTACACCATTTTCGTATAACTGGATATTGACAACTTTCGCAGCAACTTTAAGGAATTGCAAACGGACACTATTTTTTTTCCATGACATAAACCCATCATAATATTTGTCTATAGTAACATTCAAACATAAATTTCCGAAAACTGAAATAAATATCCCATCAAGTTAACCTGAGAGTCAAGATTAACTTTCTTATTTTTTTAACATAACATTTAATCACTCATACATTTTATTTTAAAATCTTGAAATTTAAGAAATTTAATATAATAATATAATTTATATTTATATAAATTAAACTATAAAAATAAATAAATGGAAAATATTTAAAAGTAAGACTAATAATAAATTAATATCTATTTTAGAAGTCTTCCAATGAATAGATCTGTTGACAGCTAATAAACAACGAACAAAAAGTACAAAAAGTTACAGAAAACAAAATATGCTCTTGCTGGTTACAGCGCTCTTAGTGATAATTCAATTAATAATCGTTATAAATATTATGTCTCTATACCCTAATAAATGTATACTGCACGAAATCATAGCACTTACTTGTAGTCCTTCTCTAAACACATCCCGTTTAAAGATATATATTGATAGTTAAAAATAATGTGTATGATGTAATTATACCATACAATAATATACACAAATAAAGACAAATAAATTATGTGAGATGACGTCCTATGTTTTGTTCAATATTCATTCTGAATAAATATTGTTTATACTCTACACAAAAAATAACGTTAACAAGGATTTTTTAACAAACGCGATGAACAGAAAGAGTAAATACTCGTTGAACGGTATATAAATATAAAATTTCATAAATATTATTATTATTTAAGCGGAATATGGACAGGAGTCTCCGGGTTTTTGGCTCGCGCCTACCGCCATTCGTCCGTGCCTTAGCGCTGAGCGCTACTTACGAACGAAGGTGGAACTAGCGCGACGACAGCGGTCGTCGTCTGACTAGGGTCTTCTGAGGAACACCAGCACCGGGCCCAAGGGCCCGTACCTTAGCGAGGTCCGGGATGACTCAGTTAAGTGCCACCTGGGTACCAGACCTCCCACTAGGTGTAGTGGTTTGTTTACTATCTAGCGCTGGTCCCACCGCCACCACGTTCCAGCCGAGGTAGGCTCCTCAACCTTGAGGGGCATCGCCACCGGAGGACTTGCCGTCCGGTTGCAATGGGGCTCCCCTCTCCCGTGGCACCGACTTGGTTTTAAGTTGACGTCGGTTGGTCAACCCGGTCGCCTTCGCTACCTCCCACTATTCTGGCACCCCTGCCGGCTAGTGGTGGGCCAGCGGAATATGGACAGATGCGATTTTTTTATTAAAAAAATCAAAAGTCGTGGGAGAATACAGTGCGATCTACGTAACTGCAGAAAATAAGCGCTGACACGATTAACGGATGCAGGACTTTGGCAAGTATAATAATAGTATAATGGTGCTGCCAATCCATTAGATTTGCGAAAAAAAAATGTTATTCCTTATTCGATTATCGACGTACCCGACATTTGTACAAAATAATTAATAATATTTCACAAATAATAAACAGACAATTTGCGTTCTTTTGTTAGATTTCCTATTTATACCTATACAATTATGTATGAATTATTTTTTCATATAGCCTACGATTTATAAACATTTAACATTTTCATGAGTGGGATGAATAGTTTGAAAATTCTGGGAGTGTTTCTTGTAATAACTTATTACAAATACAATATAATAAACTGTAATCTATTAGAAGCCAATTTTTAATATTTAAATATTAAAATGTTCAATATATGAAATTAAGATAATAGGGTTGTTATAAATTTAAAATAACTAAAATACTTGAAACATTATTTACTATGGTAAAAAGTAGTAAAACATATTTTTGCACAATGTTGTATTTTTAATATACTTAGAATTGTATAATACACTTAAAAAGTACATAAAATATTTACTCATAATACAAATACACTCACACGTACATTGACAACTATAATGATATCATTGATGATGTGTACACAAGTATTCCATTGATTGAATAAATTATTACTTTTTAACCAAGCTGGTCCATTAAATCTTTAAAATGGTTATTTCATAATACTGAAATTACTTTCTAGTTTCTAAACTAAAATTTATTTATCTGCTACAAAAAATAAACTAAGTTTCTTTTAATTCTTTCTTTTGGTTAATTATTAAAAAATTGTTTTATTTTTCAAAAATATTTCTTATTTTAGGGTTTTGATATTAAAATTAAGAAATGTATATTCTATACAATATAAATTCTTTATCAATACAACAAATCAATCCGCCCTTTAGCCAGAAACTGTAGTGCAAGTCAACTTTACTGTCCATAATAATTTAAAACGGACTGATTTTCAGTATAAAATAATAATAAATTATAAAGTGTGAAGTTTTTTTTAAATTAATATTTTGACACGTATATTTGACCCCAACAACAACAAAAACTTTAGAATAAATAAATAAATTACTAGCATATTCATAATAACATGAAATATACAGAGTATTTGATCAAATATTTAAAAAATTTCCAAAAAAATGTGTGCTTGTCTTATTCAGTAGTTATAAACTTGATTGTACTATTATTATTACATATTACAATGTTACATTACAATATATTACTATATATCTATGTATTATATCAATGACGTAAAATTGCATACTCGCGGTGATTAATTAAATATTATATTTTATATTATATTGTATACTATTTATTTTACAACATGTCTTACGTAGGTACATTGTAGATAT